GGGGGGGGAAAGGAGAGGGGCCCTGCAATCCATCTGGCGCCGCAGCGTTTGCAAATAAATATAGTTTAGCTTGAGGCTGGTCTCGCATCCCCAAAGGGCCCAGCTTGCGGTGTAAACGCAAACACCCCCCCCCTTCTGCGGAAATGGTTGGGTCCAACCGTTCCTCTCTGGCTTCGGGCCAGCACAGGCTCTGTGGGGGAGGGACAGTGGGGGGGGGGGCAGGTTGGTGAGCTGCCCCTCCCCCCACAGACCTCATGTCAAAATGGCCTCCACCCACCCATTCCTAACCCACAGGAAAATGGCACCCATAAGTTCCCAGTGTAAACAGCACCCACATAGCCCCCCCAACATGGCACCTGCCCACCCACTGCTGATCCACAGGAAAATGGCACCCATAAGTTCCCAGTGTAAACAGCACCCACATAGCCCCCCAACATGGCACCCACCCACCTACTCCTGATCCACAGGAAAATGGCACCCATGAGTTCCCAGTGAAAGCAGCACCCACACACCCGATTCTCAATCCACCTCAATAGGGCACACTTATTCCTGATCCACAGGAAAATGGCCCCCAGGGGTTCCAAGTATCAATACCCCTATGCCCACTCCCTGGCCCATGTCAAAATGGCCTCCATGGGATCCCAGTGAAAACAGCACACACTAGTCCATTTCCTAATGCACATCGCAATGGCACTATTCCCCCAAAAAGCTGTTCGACTGTTACCTAGATGCCCACTGTAATATATATCAAAGTGGTAGAGAAGGCACCCTATTTTACTCTTCCAGCTGTGAGCCTTCCCCCCAAAAAACCCCCAACAACCATTCTCATACTGAATTCTGTGCAGTCCCCATTCTCATCCCCCTCCACCCACACTGTTGGGGCTGGGTGCATGTCTTCATTTCCCCAACCCTATTATTTGTCTCAGAGAAGCGATTCAAGATGCCAAATGTTAATACGACACAAAAATTAGACAGGGCCAATGTGAAGGGCTTAAGGGCATCTATAAACCCATTCTTCAGTCTATAGTGAGTTATTTATCTGCAGCTGTGCTAAACTGCTGGCAAGGGTTCCATATGTCCATCCATTTCTTTCCCCTCTTCCCCCCCAAAATCAACAGGTTCCTGGCTCTCAGCACGTGAACCATTCCCTGGAAAAAATGTAAATCGTTATGTAATGTGCTTACTTTTGAACACAGCATGTACAAAGACACAGAAATGCTACCAAATTGAGTGACACCTTCCCCCACGGGAAAAAGGCAGGTATTATGGCAGAAGATGGAGTTTTAAGTTTTTAAAAAAATTCAACTCTGCTTTGAAGTTAGACATGATTTTGAATATGTGTTTCCTGTGTTTAGCTGAACCCCCACAAGCTGATGACCAAACCAATCATGTTTTCTAGCATGGCCCTGGTTTGGCAATCCAGTTTGACATCTCTGCTCATAACACTGCAAATCTGTCCTGACTTTCTTATAACCCCCAGGACTATCTAATTCAAAACCACACATCGCTAAATTCAGTTTACACATCCCTGGTGCTCAACTCCATCTCTCTTTCTGCCTCCCAGCTGCTCAGCACAACATTGTAAGAGACAGCAGGTCTCCAGTGGTAGCTGCCTGCTCACTGGGAAAGGATCTACATTGTTTATTTGGGTGAAGAGGATAGAAGGCGCCAATATTCAAAGCACAAAATAGGAGTCTGAACTGGTGTGCAAGAACTAGTGCGTAGCTGTTGGGTGGGGGAGATGTGGTTTAAATAGATGTAGGTTAAGGATTTTCAAATATGGGAATCGCCTGTTAAGTTTATTCATTTTTTTAAATGGAAACTGAATGTCCGAAACCTGAGTGCATTTGAAAAAAACTCAGTCTAATCTACACCAGATTGGTAGTAGAAAATGGATAGTGGACACAATGGAGCAAGGTCACATTGGAGTGGAAAGTAACTCTGGACCCAGCTGTAAACAGGCCAATATTGATTAATCCTATTGAGGCTCAATTTAGTACAAGTCCAAGGATACTACAGTGACTAGGAGCTTTACAATTATCTGTCCAGGTATTTTTACCTCAGATATGAGAACACCCTAGTTCATTTCACAGAAAGGGCAACCGAAAAGCCTTCAGACAGCAATGGCTTAGGAATGGGATTGTCAGAAGACACCTGAAGCATTATGGCATCTTGCTCTCTCATGTCACCTGCTAAAATCCCAGCCACAACTGACGTAGACTGAAATCAGACCAGTGGATTGGAATTAAGAAAGATCTATTTTCCTCCTCAGTTCTACCACCATCTGTTTTGTACAAAAGCCACTCAACTCTTACACATCCCTTCTAGTTTTATTATTGATCCTGTTTTTAGCATAGCCTGGGCATGACTTCAGAGTCCTTTGTAATGCAGATCAAAGACGCTGCAATTTTTTTAAGTCTTCAAGCTCCAAATTCTCTTTTACTGATGATGCTGGTGGAGAGAAAGATCCATTTTCCTCGAAGGCTCATCTCAAATCACCCCTGGAAAGATAAGAGACCTCAGGATTGAAGACACACAGTTTGTTACCTCTTGCAGTTAAGCTAACGCCTCCCAGATGAGGCCAGCACACCTTCTAATGCTTTGGCTCAGGCTGTCTCTCTCAGATCACATTGTAAAATTGCCATCTGGTTACTATAGCTCACAGCCTGAAGTTCAGAGAACTACGTACAGAGCTGGTGGTTTTCATGCCCCCTTTCTGTCCCTGAAAGTCTCCTTTGAGTGTCTGACCCCGCAAAATTCAGAAGGTGCCACCGGACGGCCAACCCATCCAAGGACACTCTGAGTGAAGAAAGGCCACGTTTAATCTGCGATGACACAAAATCCTGCTGCCCATAGCTCATGGCAGCAAGAGGAACGGTCATCACGGCCGCTCTCCCTGAAACGAGCAGCTCTGAGAACACCCCATGAATTTCCCCATAAAGGAATCTTTTCCTAAGCCCTCTTCTCTCTCAAGTCCTGCAGCAGGAAGTTCCCATGCACGTGTGACGACAGGTACGGCTTTCTGCAAGCACCTGTGACGGCTTTCTGCAAGCATCACTGAACGGCAGCCTTGGCAGTGTTTGGAAGATCAGTTCACAGACTGTCACTGAATGGGGAATGCATGGTATGCTCTACACCAGATATGTTAAATTTCTATGTCTGCTACAGTGCCACTTTCTTGGGCCATGCCCTCCCCGCTCTACACCAGATATTTGTTAATTTCTATGTCTGCTACAGTGCCACTTTCTTGGGCCATGCCCTCCCCTCTGCCTGATTACATTGGCCAGGGTACCAATAAGGGGTCACGCTAAGACACTGGACGGATACGAACTTCCAGCAGCTCTTACTTGGATTCTGTATAGGAATCACAGATGTAAGTCAGGAGAAGCAAAACCAGCCAATCTTGTCTCAAGAGTTCCTGCCCCTACAGAAACAAGAAGGAAATATCTCCAGGTCATGACAAAATGAGAAAAAAGAAGCTACCAACTGCATGGAAAACGATTCCTTGCATCTACCTCCCTCCTCCACGTGCACAGAAATCAGATCCATGTTCCTGACGTTGAACATGTGAAATTCGCTGGCCCGTGTTAAACAGAGCTCAGTCTAGGGCCTAGGCAATCTAATGATTCCTTCCGGCTTTCAGTAAGGGTATAGGATCTGCTACTTCTCCCTACTGTCTGGGACATTGGTCTGCTCAGGGCATGTGTGTAATCAGGGTAGATCAGGTGAAACACGGACTGAACATGCGGTTCATCACTGCAGACCCTGCAGGGGGCTATGTTGTGTGCACCTCCCTCCCCCCAGAAACCACCAAAGGGGTTGCGAATTTTAGCTGCTTCCTCACCCAACTTCCTGGGGCTCCAACATGGTCTTCCAGGCTTCTCAGCTTCACCTGCAAAACAGATAAAACCCAGGCCTGCATAAACAGGGGAGCAGTCAGATGAAGCAAGGAGGTGATTTTATCCCTGTGTAAGGTGCTGGTGAATTGGATACCGGACTATGGTTTCTAGTCTTGGTAGTCAGATTTTAAAATGGATGTTGAACAATTGGAGACAGATGCCTTTCTAGTAGGGATGCTTCAAGGCAGCACAAATTAGTGGGATCACTATGTGAAATTCGCTGGCCCATGTTAAACGGAGCTCAGTCTAGGGCCTAGGCAATCTAATGATTCCTTCCGGCTTTCAGTAAGGGTATAGGATCTGCTACTTCTCCCTACTGTCTGGGACATTGGTCTGCTCAGGGCATGTGTGTAATCAGGGTAGCAGCTGCATTTCTCTCCGGAGAGGGTGCAGGGTCTGGAACGGAGGGCGGGTGCAGAAGGGAGCTTGGGATGGCAGAGAAACAGGCTGCTCCGTGCTGATTTCTGGCTGCTTCCCAGTCCCCGTCCCCCCCCCTTCCTCCCAAGAGATCAGAGCAAGCCCCGAGACGCCCTTTCTGCAAGGCCCTCCACAGCTGCAGCCCCTTACCCCTCTGTCCTGGGTGCCCAGGGCCGGGATGTTTCACAGCCGCCCATTTTCAAGATTCAGTCGCTCCACGGATCCACTTCAGCCCCAATCGTTGTGTGGGGGCGGGGAGTCCCTCTCCATCGTCTGAAACAGGCAGAGGAACATTGGTAAGAGCGTGTCCAACCCAGCCTCTTCCTATGCCCTGCTGCTGAGATCACAGCTGGTATCTAAGCCCAGGCCCCCAGCCCAGCTCCCTGGGGATGTACCTAAGCAGAGAGCTCACTCTACCCAAGGCAGCAGGACTAGCCGGAAGTCACTCTGGGGTGCAGAGAGGCAGCCAGAGCAAAGGGCAGGAGGAGAAGGGAGGGGAACATCGTAGCAGACACCCGGACAAGGCCCATGTCTGCAAGAGTTTGCCTGGTCTTCTGGGTTCGCATCACCCTTCCCTGAGCCCGTTACTGCCCTGACTCAGCCGCCGGAGGGTCTCCTTGCAGCTCCAAGCCAGGGCCGGGCAGGGACCCCCTTTGTGGGAGCAGGGCTGCGGGCAGCCCATAACTTGCTTTCCCCCTAGGACCTCTCACCCCAGATTTCAGAGCATTTTGTAGTTAGCCAATCACGCCTTGCACGCGTCCTAGGACCGATCACTCACATGGGGCAGTGGGGAAACTGAGGCAGGAGCGAAGTGCCTTGCTCGAGGTCACTCCGGGGACAGGTCAGAGCTAGTGACGGCCCGTTGCCCTGACTCCTGGGCCACTTGTGAAAAAGGGGGGCTGGACGGCATGTGGGGCAGGGCCTGGGGCACTATGCAGGCAGGCGGGAGGCCAAAAGGGGTTCAGGGCAGCCCCCGAACTCAGCACGTGTGTCAAAGCCGCTGCACTTCCCCTCTGGTCACCGAGCCTCCGCACATCACCACGCGGGGAGAAAACCGGAGCAAAACGCGCCCCAGCCCCAGAGACTGGGTCACTGGACCCTTCACTGCAGCCGCCTCTCTGAACCCCCAGTCCAGCCCCTCCCAGCAGAGCGCCCCTCCCTCCCCTGCCCTGCGGGGCGCACACAGCCCTGCGCACAACACACCCGCTGTTGAACTGGGGTGGGTGCAGCAGGAGGGGGGTCCCAGGACTCTGCCTGCCCCTCCCGAGCTGGGAGCAGGATCAAGGCGATTGCAAAGCAGCATCAAAGCCCCCAGAGCCCTCTGGGTGTACAAGGCACCTGGGGGGGAAGCAGCGATCAATTTCCTGCAGGCAGGCTGCAGACCAGGCATCTCGGAGCCCACCAGCCCGGTGCACCCGGGGCCTCTGCCTTGAGTGGGGGCTTCGCACCCCACAGCCCAGGCTGAGTTCACAGCCCATCCCCCCTGCCTTGGCTTAAAGGGCTGGGGGGGGTCTGAATCCAGCAGCCCCAGGGCCAACCCCCATGCA